CTGTGATGGGATTGCGACCCGTCCAGGGTGCACCCCGCCCCTCGCACAGTGATTGCTGGACATGGGCACCGGTGACCCCCCCGACCCAAAATGGAAGAAGAGGGTTAAAGATAATGGATGGAAGGATCGACTTTTAGATAGTTTGCTAATTTAAGCTTTAGCTTTCCACGTTTAACTTGCACAATTAATTTTTCATCTTTTAAAAAGGCACTCAGCACTGAATTTTCACATTAAGGTTACAGATTTTTAACATTTGCTTTATTTGATTTTGTCGTTCTGGTTTTTCTAAAATGGCATTGGATGTTTGATCTAATCAGTCCTGGCTTGTGTTTTTATAATCCTTGTCTTATTGTCTAAAAAAATGTTTACATTTTTAAAAAACTGTTATGTCATCAATTTGTCAGCAGAGTAAATGGTAGAGGACTGAGTACACATCCCAGAGGGATCTGTTTGACGGAGGTCTCCGGGAGAGCTCAGAACCCAGTGCTCTCCCAAATGTTCCCCAAAGTCGTCCCATTATGGGTGTTCAGCTTGTATCCTGGACCTCTAGGCACTAACATTTTTACTGATTTTTTTTTTTTCCAATTGTTTAATGATTGCATGCATCTAATTTTATTATGTGATAATAAAATATTATTATTTTATTATTTTATATATTATCTTATATTATTATCTTATATATATATATATATTTTTTAGCCTTTATTTATCCAGGTTAGTCTCATTGAGCCACGAGAACTCATTTTCAAGAGAGACCTGTTTAGGGAGCACATGGTGGGGTTAAGGGCCTTGCTCATGGGCCCAGAGTAAGTGTGGGTATTTCACCTACCCCACCCACAATTTTGATGTTGTCCGGGCCGGGGCGTGAACCGGCGATCTTCGGATCACAAGCCCACCTCTCTAACCTCTGCGCCACCACTCCCCCTAAGGAGTAGTTATATCATCTATTTTATTATCTAATATTATTATTATGTTATTAACAGACTTTATATGTATGTGAGTGTTTCTGTTCAGTGCCCTGAGATGACCTCTGTTGAGAAATAAACTGGACTGAACTGAATCTCCGTAAGAAAACATGAGTTTTGAATAAATATTTGGACACCGGGGTCTCTCACTTTTCAGAATCCAAACTGTAAATTGTGAAAACCTTGTGTAAAAACATTTCAGTGATTTCTCTCGCACTGTGAAAAAAACATAAGAGCTGAAACTTTTATCTTTAGACTGGCCTTGTCCAATCTTATAAATAGTAATAAAATAAATGAACATTATTAAAAATCAGGGCTGTATTTATTAGGCCTATATTAGCATCAGTTTACAGATAAATGGGGCAGAGTTAGGTTGGATAACAAGGAAATGAACAGATGGAACCAACCATCCGATTGGTTGTTGAGTGAATCAAATCAACACGTTTTTATTCTTATTATAATCATGCAACATGTTTTTTTAACCAATAAGGTGAAAAAATAAAGCAGAGAAAGGACATTAGATGTTTTCTCTCCTGCACCTAAACAACACAGAGGAGATCATATTTTTAAATATCCATTTGCACATGGGTCTGCTGTTCCAGGCACGTTTCTTACAAGGAAGTAAAAACTTTATTTGCAGATTTTCTCACGAAGGGACTGCTTGAAAAGTGCTCTGTCATCAGCAAACAATACTAACGTGCCACGGTTACTCAAACGTTGCGACGCTCCCATCTCTGACACGAACGATGACTCAAATGTCCCAGCAGCTACACCTTACTACAAGGAGGCATCAAATGTTTTGCATCATAAAAAACATTCCTGAGCTATTTTAAGTTGTGGGTTGAGTGAGTTTAATCAGAGTGAAACAGAATTATGAAAAACAAAATATTCAGGTCTGAATTACCTCACGGTTTATGTCACCTTGTTACCATTAAAAAAGAAGATTTGTACTTAGTAGTTTATACTTTAGTGGGGACTTTAAATATCTTCTCCGTTTGGTTTGTAGTCTACTTACGAGTGCAAATCATTTAATTAATTGTGCGTTATGCACAGTTATGGTGAGCAAGCAACCACCAATGTCCACCCCCCAGCTCCGCCACTGGGCCTGGAGAAAATAGCTCTCTCCATCGCCAGGACTCGTCACTCTGCTCCACCTCAAACGAGAATTTATTTTAATCCCTCTGTTAATCCCCCAGTTTAACTTGCACCCACTTGAATATCTTGCACCAAAACATTTAGGTTTACTTCATTCCCTGTTCAGAAAAACACTCACGTCCAAAACTGCAAACATCACTGTTCAGTTCGCTCAGTGACGGGGTCACCCACACACTGCGTGTTGAGGTGATTTTTTTATGTTGCGTTTATTGACAATATGGAAGCAGATATTTTAGGAGGTAACAGTATATTAAAGTAGTAAAATCAATGGCAGTTGTTGGTATTGTTTTGGTTATTGTAAAACTAAATAACAGCAAACGTTGTGGAGGCCGTCGACTTTAAAAGAAGTGGAGTCGATCAAACAGATTCATGTCTTCATAATTATCTAAAAGAATGAAAAATTAGTTGTGAATTTGAGAATATATGTTAATCCTTATGTTGCATGGTGCCGCCTTTAATCCATGTTGACCTCTGACCTCATCACCAAAAGCTGCTGTTTGACCATTTTTCATTGTGGTGGTTTAAATGGTTCATGCAGTAAACACCTGAGGGTCTTTCCTTGCACTGCTGGTTTCCTTCTTTAATAAAAATACATTCTGTAATATTAAAAAAAGTAAATACAGTAGTCCCTCGCTGCTTAGCGGTTCGTTTATCGCAGACTCGTTCTATTGCCGTGTTTCAAAATAAGATTGGACATGACACACAACTGGCTGATTGATGGATGAGCTGCACGATTGGCATGGAATTGTGTTTTTTATAAATTATTTTAAATTATTTAACACCTCCTGCACCATTGTGCAGCCCTTACTGCTGCAGGATAAACTTCCTGCTGCAGCTGATCAACTGTTCAATGTGCAAAGCGGAGAAGTGGGCGTGGCCAAGAGGCTTGCAGGAGCAGGGAGCTGAAATCACGACATTCTGTGCCTTTTTTTTTAGAGTGTTTACTTTAGAAACTTTGTTTAGAATATTGCAAGAGTGTGGGAATTTTCATTCATTCAACCTTTATTTAGACGGTAAATCCCATCGAGCCTCGAGGACTCATTTACAAGAGAGACCTGATTTCAACAAAGAATGATGACAACAATGGACAACAGCGACAACAATA